CCCAGAAAAATTTTCTAAAACCTTTATCATTTTCTTCTAGTTATAAAGCAAAAAAAGTAAAAAAGATAATATGTTACATGAATAACAATATATTCAAAACGCCTTATGGGAGTATAGAAGAAATGTACAGGGTGAATTTTTCTGGGTGCTTATAGAAAAAAAATGAAAATTTTCTCTGTAATTATGATATTCTGATTCTCAGAGTATGTTGAATAGTGTATACTTGAAATAAATTAATTTCTACTAACACTTAAAAATATATAGTTAAAATAATCTTTAGTGTATTCGTAAATTTCGAGTCAAGACTTTTTAGTACCTAGTTATTCAGTACTCGCCCCACTTAGACGTTGCACTATGTATAGTTTATCACGAAATGTCTGTACAGTACGTTTCTTCTTTTTGCGCCACAACTATCGCTATAATTTAATCCACAAGATAAAACAGACATAGTCATCCTGTCATCAAAAGTATAACTATTAGGAATAATGTCCATTTGTTTGATCTGGGATACAACTTATATATTTTAACACATCTTTCACCTAACGCAAACAGATTTTTAAAATATCGTATGTAATTTTCTGCGCCCTCTACGCGGACAAAAAAAAATGTCATCGAAGCAGGCTGTGGTTACAAAAAATTGCTTGTTTTTTCCTCTTTCACGCGATATATTACGTGTTGCCTTTATCTTTTATATTTATTACATTTTTTTATAATTTTGGTATAAAAAATGTCAACATTTTCGTGTTAACGTAGAAATTGTTGTAGACACGTGTCAACTATAAAAAATTTAATAAATATAATGCACTTCTTTTAAGCAAAATACACACATTATAATATTGGTTTTTTACTTTAGAGAAAACTGAGCCTTCACCATTGTTCTTGCACAGACAAAGTAGCTTACGCTTAATGTAGCACGCTATGAAAACAAATGTGTTATCCCAGTAATGTCATCATTAATGCAATTTCAATTCTATTCAAGCACTTGCAGAATGTAGAAAACCTTCGCTAATAAAATCAGCTGTTTTTAACAGAATTTTAAATGATGTAAATAGAAAAATGAGCGAAACAGTAAGAGATTGAAGTGAACTACAATTTAGAGAAGGATAGTGCAAGAAGAAGAAAAAATGGTTTCAAATTTTATAAGGTGAAAAAAGTATATCTCTTGAACTTGAGGGAGGAAGATAAACCAAAGAGATTAGGGTGAGATTAGGTGGTGACAAGAGAGAGGGAAAATCCTTTTATATGCGAAGAATTTTCTGGTCAGATGTGCCTAATTTTTGTAACAATGGATTCTTTAACAGGATCAGCTAGTCAAATGGACTAATGGTAATTTACATTGGCACGGAGAAACAGCATTTCAACAAAGGTTTTCAGTAACCGTTTGGGTTAGAATTCTTGATACCAAAATCATAGGACCTTACTTCTGTGATGGTAAACTGATGGGTGCCAGATATTGCAGATTCTTAGCTTTAAAAAAGTACATTATATTCATAAAAGTTTTTGTAGTTGACCTGTTTAAAACAATTTCTATACATTAATCTACATTTTTAATACCAAAATTATAAAAATGTAATAAATATAAAAGATAAAGGCAACATGTAGTACATCGCATGAAAGAGGAAAAAACAAGCAATTTTTTGTATCCACAGCCTGCTTCGATGACAATTTTTTTTTGTCCGCGTAGAGGGCGCAGCAAATTATATCCGATACTTCAAAAATTTGTTTACACCAGGTGAAAGATATCAATTTTTGCCATGAAATTTTAATAAAATAAGTTTTCTCTATCTCTTAAAATAAAAAAGTTAGACGGCCCTAAACTTTCGGTACTTTTCCGGTTTTTTATGATTTCTCATAAAGTTGGCCATGGATCTCAAATTTGTTTTTACAAGCATCAAGGCCTCAAAAATTGCGACAAAAAACATATAAAGATTTTTGACGTGTATCGTGTATTAAGCGAGATACATAGGTGTGGCCCTCTTATAGTAAACACCATGTATATATACCGGGTGGGCATTTATCTGGAGACAAAATAAATACAAGAATCTTGAGACAACGGAGTACCTTGTTGGGATCACTCTTGTTTAATGTTTCATACAAAAGTTGTAGAGTAGAAAAGGGAGCAATTTTGACATGACCTTGAAATTGGGTTGTTTGAATATCAAATTCAAAATTTTAAATGGGGCCCTCTTTTTTGACCTCGAAAATTATAAGAGTGGAAAGTTTTACAAAAAGATATGAACATAACCTCAAAAACAAGATCAGATATCAAGGTCATTTTAAGGCCGAAAAACTGTATAATTATTAACTACTTTTAGCACTACCCATGAATAACGACATGGACGTAGTAGTTTTTTTTATTCCTTTTGGGGTGCTTGTTTTCGGTCTGAAGATTTTTATGATTTGCTGAAGAAATTTTGAATTTGATCTTCAAACGACCTTGAAGGTCATTTTCAATGTCATGTCAAAATAGCCCCCTTTTCACCCTTTTGTATGAAACATTTTTTCAAAAAAAGAAATCCCAACAAGGTACTCCGTTGTCTCAAGATTCTTGGTATTTTTTGTTTTTTATGGTCAAAATATGGGTTAAATCGAACAAATAATAAGAAAAAGTTTTTTTTTCGTTTTCCAATCGAAATCCGTGGTAAACAAAAAACAACTTCCGGTCTAAAAACACCACTTCCGTAATATGGACCTTTGAATGGCCCCCTCGGCGCCCCACAATTTTTGTCGGAAACTTTTTTCGAAATAATCGAGTTCAACCGAGATATCATTTTGTCTCAAGATAAATGCCCCACCCGGTATATCTATTATCATATCTGTCTTTAGGGACGTATTTTCTTGAAGGCGTAGGTGGCGATTGCCCGGGGCGGCCGCCTGTTCCAGAGGGACGACGAATTTGAAAACCTGATTAAAAAAAGTCACACAATCAGCGATTTACCGATATAAATAACAGGTAGAGCTGGGGCAGAGTATATTAAATAAATAACCCATTAGGACAAATTAATCAGTAAAGGGGTTGATTTTACAAATTATGTTGACTAATCATAAATATATCGTACTAAAAAAGCAGATAATAGTTTCCGAATATATGTCACGAGTTTGGCACATAACGAGCGAATATAATAAACATTACGAATATGTCAGCGAAACTTCGAGGTGTTTAAATGTTAGAATTGGAGACATAGAGACATTACAAAGGAAGAAAATCTAAAATTTGCGAACATCCGTGGCAAAACGGTTATGTTAGACGGTGTAATCATTAAAAAAATATATTGTGTATGTCGACTATTCAGTTCAATTTAATTTTCATATGTTCACAAGAATATAAAGAATTCAAGGGTTTCAGACGAGGCATATACGTACATACAGGCTGTCTCCTAAAAAACGCCGCAAGCCATAACTCCGTCATTTATAGTCTGACTTTAAAAAACAAAAAATTATATGAAATGGCTCTAAATTCACTATAGAGTGAGCCTATTGGAGCGTATTTATTATTTTTTTGTTTGAAATGAGATAATCAACTTTTTTTCAAATGGCAATACATATAGGTTTTTTTTTTATTTATTGCCGATGCTGAGGAAGCTCCAGAGACTCCTGCAGACAGCAGAGAGATAGAGATAGAGAAAGAGGTAAAGAGGGGAGAGAGGGGAGAGGATGAGAGAGGGAGACGAGATGGGGAAAGGAGGGGGGGAGGGAGAAGCGTTGAGAGGGGAGGGGAAAGCTAGAGGGAGGAGAGATAGAGGGGGGAAGGAGATATGGGGGTGACCGGGGAGAGGGGAGGGGAGGGGGAAAGGGGGAGGGGGTGGTAGAGAGAAAGAGAGAAATCCTATATGACGACACAATCACTATCTCTGTCGCACAAAACAAATTATATTACTATTTGTTTAAAATGCCATTATGAATTTGTTTATTTGGAAATATATTTTCTGCAGTATTTCGATACCAAAAAATGAAAATATTAGCTATTTAAATAAATTATGATTAAATAACCTAATTGTGACACAGCTGCAGAATATCCGATCATCTGAAGTCGTTGATTCTTCAAAAAACATTTTTATCCATATCTACATTTAAGTAAATCAAAAATTAGGCATTTATAAAAAAAAGTGTACAAAATAAATCCAACCGTACGCGTGATAACATTGCCAAACTGGTGTTTATGCGTTACTAGGATGCGCGTAGTAATGCCGACCGCTGCATTTGATTCTTCCTAAAATTCTGTTGGTGGTGTACTCTATCGGTAATTCGGAAATGTAAAACTGCTGTCCTATTACAAGCGCTGTCTGGAGCGATAAGTTATATTGTCTGTGTGAATGGGAATGGGATATTTTCCAACTTCTTAACTACATCACAATATTAAGCTAATTCATAAATTTTTCCCTATAAAATGCTATCACATGAAGTTAAATTTCTAGTATCGGCGGTCATTGTTTGACTTCATTTGACAGAATCTTCTAGGTACAATTTTTTTAAATTTATTTAAATTAGTTTAATATCTTTAATAGAGTAAAAAATTATAGCTAAGAAAATATAATATGTATATTTAAAATAAATAATACAAATACCTAGTTGCAAATTAAAAATAACGCAAAGTATGATTAGAAATTCAGGATATTAATATTAAATATAAATTAAAAAGGTTATTTTGGGACTCATAAAACAACAATGAGATTCTATTTTTCAAAACATTTAAATAATCACTCTGTAGAGCAGTACAATTTTGTTCACAAAAGTCAAGAACCTTCAAAAATACGTTCTTATTTTTTTAATAAATAACCGTCACTTTTTAAGATATTTCAAAGAGGGGCGCAGGGGTGGGGGCTAGCCGTACATGAATATCCAAAACATGGAGGTCACTAACTTAAAATAACAGTGTTCACTATATTTTTTCTTGGTAGAAATTTTCAGAAAACGGTGTTTTTTGAAACATAAAAGAATGCATTTCTATTTCAATGATTTACTTAGTATACATAAATTAAATTGGCTATAAGGAAACCTACCCTTTGTAATTTGTTGAAACCTATCTGTTGATTGTTGATGAGACTCCTCTCATGTAAGTTATATTTTTCACCAGGTTTTGGAATAATTATTTCAGGGTTTAGAGATTCTATCGAAGCCATATCAATTTCTTTTCCTTTCGTTTCGCCCTGTTCGAACCATTCCACGGTTGCACATCGTAAGTCATTGTTAATGGCAGCAACAATTGCTGAATGCACTCGCCCTGAAAAGAGAAAAAATTATGAAAACATTTGTGTATACAAAGTGTATTATTAGGAATGGGCTTAATGGTAGGTTCTTCAGGTCAAAATAAGGCGATATTAAGTTGTGTTGCCTTAATAAAATATTGCCCTTTTTTTGAAACGGGTCGCAGTGGGAAATATAGGACAAAAATCTACGTTCTCGGCTACTTTAACCGTACAGTGGTCATTTCTTTTTTATTCTTCTTCAAATTAATTTTAAGATCCTGGCGCAATAATTTGATATATCTATATAGGAATTTTTTAAATCAAGTGAGAACCTATCGGCCTCAACACCAAAGATTAGACATTTAAAAATAAAATAAAAACTTTTGCAACAAAAAACAAAAAGAAAAAAAATTAAAATAAAATAAAAAACTGAAAAACAACCCTTTTAAAGACTGTTACCTTGACGCGGTTGTCTTATTTAAATGAAGATAAAATGAAGTCCAATTTCGGTAATTAATACAGATTTTGAGTTTGAGTTTTTCGCTGAAGTTGTTGATATTTTTATAATTTATTGATTGAAATTTTAGCTATCTATATAAATATCCACTTATTTCTTGTGGATTTGAGAATAAGTTTCAAGGGTTTGAGGTTAGGTTTTTATGAACATAGCATAGGTTTGAGACTTTAGAAATACAAAATATTAGTTCCAGAATTTGCAAGGAGTTACATTCTTTGGCTCGGAAAATATCCTTCGTTTGACTTTTTAGCTCAGATTTCTTGGATTTGAGGTTGCTGGTTAGGTATTTAAGAATAGAGGTTAGGGGCCTCAAAAATAAAAAATATAAGTTCCAGGAAATAGTTTTCAAGGATTTCTATTCTTTAGTATGGAACATAATATACATTCTATGAACTTCTAGCTCAAGTTTTTCGAATTTGAAGTTGGGTTTTAAGGGTCTGGGGGTAGGTTTTGAAGGGTTCGAGGTTAGGTGTTTAAGGATGTAGGTTTATGGCTTTAGAGTTAGAAAATACAGGGTGTTAGAAGACGATAAAATACATTAAATTAAACAAAAAATCTTATGACATGGATCCTAAACACAACCATTTCCGTGAAAAAAATTATCAAAACCTTCAACTTGATGTACAAATGTTCGATTAATAAGGAATATTGACATAAATGCGTGCATAGAATACCATAGAATACAATGTTTATCAATTTTTTGAACTTCTTTAAGCTTAATCCTAAAAAAGAATTAGCGTTGTAATAAATTTAAAATTCAATAAAATTCATATCGAGCAATGTGACCACGGCGTGGCGTACACGAGGTACTAAGCTGTCCACCAATACACAATTCAGTTGGTATCTGGATTCGACCGTGTCGGAGTGTTTTTTGCGTACCACTATTTCCTTTTCTTGAGGTGTTTTCCAACGAGTACGCCAAAATTGGATTCGAAGGTGTCGTGTGTGCATCGAAAATTGTGGTGAACATTTTGAGCATTTGTTGCAGTTTGTTTTGTACGTGTGCGTTTAAAAATTACTAGATTTTGATTTTTGGTAAGTATCTAAATTATTTTTAATACGTATGATTATGTGGAAATCGTGAATCTTTGGGTACTTTAATTACATTTTTTTCAAATACGTAATTTGATGAAAGTTAAATTCCTGTTTTAAGAGATTCATAATTACTAATATTCGAGCTAAAATTTAAGCACAACACTATATTCGTACTGAAAATCGATACATTTTATTATTATTTATTTAAAAACTGGAAAACAATTGTCTTGAAATTTACTAAATGTTTCACAATAATAGCCGTTTACATTTTTTCGGTAGGACAAGTCTGCCTAGCAGGTTAAGCGTTATTGTCACGTTGTGACGAAATTCCCCAGTATTAATACACGCTGTATTTCGAAATATGTTAATCTTACGCCCCTATAATATACAACTTTTTTGTTGAAACCGTATAAAAAAGTTGGCATCTCTTTATTGTGCCCGGTCACAACAATGAGATGCCGACTTGCACAATAAAAAGATGCCGACTCTTAGTTTTTTTACGGTTTCAACTATCTTCGTAAACACTATACACTATCTCATGCAGGAAGTAATGGCAGTCAAATTTTTTTACGCCCTGTATAAGCTCAAAAATATAGTTTTCCAGTAATTATACCCATAGATTAAGAAAAGAGTCAGTGTATTACTTTGAGGTTATGTTTTTGGGGTCAGGTTTAAGGTTGAAAGGTATTGTGAAGCTATATGATTATTTTCGTTGTTAAATCAACCTCAAATACAACATTTTTTATTTTTAAATACCGAATTATTATCTTTGGTGTTGAGGCTGATGGGTTCTCACTCGATTTAAAATATTCCTATATAGATACATACATATATCAAATTATCGCACCAGGATCTTAAAATTAAGCATATTTGAAGAATAAAAAATCACCATTGTACGGTTAAAATAGCCGAGTGCGTAGAATTTTTTCCCACATTTCCCACTGTGCGCATGTCAAAAGATTGTATTTATTTCAAGAACCATTGCACCAAACAAAGTTAAAAATATGACCTTACTTTTTTGCCTTTAACACTACAGTTTCAACAAAAAATAAAGAAAATCCCTTAATTCTAAAAATATAAGGGGTGTCCCAACATTACTTGTTTTTGTTTCCTTTTGCTTATTTTAGTCATAATCCCGGTATTAACGAGATTAATAGTTACACTCCCGCGGGATCCCGGTATTTGCGGGACTCCGCTTGTCTGATATGCAATATAGTCTTTTTAATTATTAATTATGTTTTTATTAAAGAAATAATACATTATTCCATTTGTTGGAAATATTTCACAATGTACTTAAGGTATGATCAGCTAAGTTACTTCTAATGTCACTGGCTAGAAAACCCGCTGCCGAAAATGCTCTCTCCGCCTCAACACTAGTAGGTGTTACAACTGTTACAGACTTTAAACAGTTATATGCCAAGTCAAGGTATTTTCCTTTAGATCCTCCTGATTCCAACAGGGCCATCTCCTTTCTGATAAGTGAATCTAATGAATTAACATCAGATGTCGGAGTGTTTGTAATACATATATTTTCACTGACTAAAGTGCGCTCCAATTCTTCTTGTGTTGAAAGTGTTGTAGAAGGATTTTCATGTTCAATTTGCGTTGCTATTTGAGAAAGAGGTATATCATCCTCGCGATCCTGTTGTTCAGTAGGTGTAAATAAATTTGTGGGAGGAATTTCATCATACTTTTTTTGCAGTACAACCTTTCAATATATTTTTTTTATTTCACTTCTAATAACAGACTTTGCTGGCATGCCAAAAGTATCATCATTCAACGAAATTAAATCCATGTATTTCGAAGTGTTTTGTATGTATATCAAGGTTGGGGTTAAAGTTCGTCGCTGTAAAATTTTCTGCCTCAAAGATTCAGCCATTTCTGCAGCCAAAGGTAAATTAAGTTCTTCCAGTTTTCTTAACATGAATTTTATCGTTTGTCTCAGCTGTTAACAATGTCGACTCTTGGCGGCATAGCACTTCTACGGCAAGCTTTATTGGTTGCAAAATTAGTTCTAAATTTTTCAACGCTGAGAATTCTTGTTCTGTGAAGCAGTATTCAGTATCAGTTCCTAGATTAAGGTCAATTAGTCCCTTACAAATGCATAATTTAACTTTATTAAATGTTTCTATCGTTGCATCGAGTTTTACAATCTAAGGCAAGTTGTATATCTTTTCCAAACTCCTTTTTTCATATAAATTTGCAACATGTCATTCATTTGTTGGAGGTCTCTTGAAGAGACAGACAACTTTGGGAACTTTCTTAATTAAATCAACAAACTGAGGTAGTAATTCAACTTCTTCAGATGAAATCGTACTTACTACAAAACAATCATCATTGTTAAATGTCCTTAACTCGTCTTCCTCTTCGATACAGTAATCTTCTGGATCTATGTCTGCATTTCCATTTCCTTCATTAGTTTGAAAAGTGATTTGTTTATTATAAATGACATCTATGATTCCGAGTTGCAGACCATGGGCATAACAAAGTTGATGAGACGGTTCGATAAGCTTGCCAATTTTTACACTAGCACCATCTGTAGTAATAGCAACAATGTCGGCATTTAGATTCAAATCATACTCACTTAGTTTTTCTTTCAGAATATTTACACAAATCTCCGATAGCATACTACTAAAAATACGGTCCAATCCTAAATTCCAGAACATTTAAGTACCTTTCGCAAATGTATGAATATTGATATTTAAATAGCGTCGGTTACGTGATGAGGTCCATTCGTCGAATGTCAAAGTAAACTTGTGATTTTCGTCTTTCAGTTCTGACAACTCACGAGATATCTTCATTTTTATGGTCATCCCATAATTCATGACCATAAGTCTAATAGAATTGGCAGAAGTCGGAAGTTTATGTCCAGCGGATTGAAAAAGATCTCTTAAATCTGACGATATACAAAATACCCTAAATGGCAGTCCATCCCTGGAAACCATACGAGCTACTTTTTTTTCTGAACTATTTTCGGTGTCCTTTCTTTGGAAATGATGTGTAATTTTAGTTTTTTTCGACAAGGGGACTTCTGTACTTGATGTTGGTAGTGTAGGATTTTTATTCTATGGAGCGATATTTGTTATCAAATTCATATGGGAATGCTTAGTTCTCAAGTGAACATGCAAACCTTTTGTTGATTGCCCTGTAATTTTTAAAATAGATTTACATATTGTGCACTTTGCCGACTGTGAATCTTCTGATTTAAGGAAATATTCCCAGACAGAACTTGAACTTTCAAATTCTTTGTACACTACACATGCCATGGTAATATTGGTAACAAAGTGTTTTTACATACATAAAGTAGAAAAACACCTAAATGTTAAAATATTATTTAAAACACAAAGCAATCAAATTTAACTACTCCAACAGACAACAATGGTTAATAAAGTAAAAAATCAGCACGTGCACTGTAAGAGTATGGATAGAACGGGGGATCGGTTCGTCTGCAGTTGCACAGAAGCAGCAGCGAGCAGCGAGTAG